ATATCTAAGCGTGTTCAGCAGCAGCTTGAGTCATGCCCCAGGTTACGGAGGTGATGCCCCAGGTTACGGAGGTGATTCCCCAGTGGCTTTAGGGTTGATATTTTTGTGAGCATATGAACGAATTTAATGCAGATTTATCAGGATGGGAGTATGAATATCAAGAGTTAATGAAATAATGAGTGTAAAGAGAAGGGGGGCCTCATTCTCCAACATCTTCCATTCTCCAATATTTAAGTTGGTTCTTCAGTGTGTTCTTGATAAAGGTCCTAAGAAAAAGTCTACATCAGATTCATGACGTGTTCTTGAGTGTGTGTCGATTCTGTTCTTACCTAAGAACAAATCCCACATAAGAAAACATTGGTGAATGAGTTTTCATCAGAACTGCATAAGTGGGTTTAAGAAGAAATTTCTACTTAAGAACGGTTGGAGAACAAGACCTTAGTCTAATTAAAGAGATGGACTCTAGAGTATCTGTGCCTCCACAGTCAGAGCAGTGGGTCTCAGTCACAGTCCCAATCAGGTGAATTAAAGACACAAAAATATGAAAAAAGCCCTCCAGGACTGGAAACCACATTCTCAACATTAAACATATCAAAACCGTTCTTCGGAGCTAAACCTTTGATTCCTAAAGAACCTTTACATGGAGGGTTTGTTGAAGAACTGCTTTTGTTCAATAGATTTGTGACAATAAAGAACCTCCACATGGTGATGTACACTCTTAAAAAAGACGGTGCTTCAAGGGTTCTTTGGTGAAGACAATCAATCTATACAGAATCATGATCACTCAATGAACCATCTGCATGCTTAAAAGGTTCTTTGCACGGTGAAAGGTTCTTCAGATTAATGGACAATGTGTTGTAGATTTTTTTGAAAATGATTCTTTACAGCACCAAAACAGGTTCTGCTATTTTTATGATGTCAAGCTTGTCACAGTAAGAGAACGCTTTTTGGTGCTATATAGAACCATGCAACATGTCCTCCATCAATCTGAAGAACAATTTCACCATAAACACTTAAGCCTACAATTGTTTTTTTGAGTGATCCTGGTTCTGTATAGAGCCACTGTCTGGATGGAAGAACCATCTTTTTTAAGAGTGTGCTTTTCAAAATAAAAGAAAATTCCAGCACAAAAGACTAGAAAAATATTAATTATCATTTTTAGTTACTCAGTTTACCCCCATTCACTGAGAACTCACTCATAAATGCAAATGCAATGTCATTTTGTGGTGTAATAGGAGGAACAGGAAGTTTCCAGTTAAGTAAATAGTAAAGGAGTAAAGGATTGATTAAGTAAGAGATTCGCAGTAAGAGTCTGACTGATTCAGTAAAGGATTCCCAGTTAGGGTCTAACTGATTCAGTAAAAGATTCCCAGTTAGGGTCTGACCGATTCAGTAAAGAATTCCCAGTCAGGGTCTGACCGATTCAGTAAAAGATTCCCAGTTAGGGTCTAACTGATTCAGTAAAGGATTCCCAGTTAGGGTCTGACCGATTCAGTAAAGGATACCCAGTTAGGGTCTGACCGATTCAGTAAAGGATACCCAGTTAGGGTCTGACCGATTCAGTAAAGGATACCCAGTTAGGGTCTAACTGATTCAGTAAAGGATTCCCAGTTAGGGTCTAACTGATTCAGTAAAGGATACCCAGTTAGGGTCTGACTGATGTATTGTTTGGCTGAAATATTGATGATTGAATTTATTATATAGATACGAGTTCTGGGGGGAGATGTGGGTTACACTTTCTGCAAATATGCAAAATCTCTGAGGGGTCGTGGATGGTTTTTATATTATTTTGTTTTATAATTTTAACATTTTAATGTTGACATGTAAAGCACTAGACATCATGATGATATGGTAACCCAGCATAGTTTTTTAATCTAGTTTAATGTATGAAATATGCAGTGTCTGTATGGTACCAGCACTGAATGTAGGCTATTAATTTTGGTCCCCACCAACTTATCAGTTTAACTTTGCTCCCTGAATAGTAGCTTGTTTTAAGGTGTAACAAACAGAGCCCTTTAGCACACATTCAGCTCAGACAGCTCAGACCTGACAGTCACATCTGAGGATACATCACTGACTGACAATCAAGACACTCAGTAAAGCACTGTTTAACCAAAACTACTGTAGCTGGTCTCATTTTTGAGCACATTAGATGTAGAGTTTTCTTGTTCAGGCCCGACTCGCGACAGCAGTGCAGAAACGCTACATCTGAGAGCGCCAGCGTGTCTAACAATGAACGGAAGCCAGCGTGTTGTGAAAGGCTGCACTTAGCACTAATCATCTGCACCAGCATCTTCACTGGCCAACTAGCCTTTCAGTCACAAACGCCAGAACAGTGGACATTAACGACGTCTGAAAACGTGCAATTGTCCACCACTTTAAAGGGCCAAAATTTACTGTAAAGCATCGCTCGCTATCTCTGTGAGGCACTCAGCCTTCAGAGAAAGAGCGTGCTGTCATTTCTCAGCGGCGCTCAGCAAACCGAGGTTCTCCATTCCTGCACGATTGGACGAGAACCGTAAAGCACTCAGACACAGAGAGGGGAGCTGACCTTTGGTGAGCTTGTTTACACTCAGGGAAAGCGAGTGCTGGGAGATGCTTCATAAAGCAAAAGAGAGAGTGTGTTTGCCGTGTGTGTGTGTGTGTGTGTGTGTGTATGTGTGTGTGTTTCCCACAGTACAGACTCTCAGGGTGTGTGTATATATAATGCCCCACTGTTACAGGTGCCACAACACCAGCTGCATGCTTATTATCCAGCTCCCTCCGTGCACTCCTGTCAGGCTCACAGCCGCAGGACCGCACGGCAGCGTCGCCTTTATTTGTCACTTTGTTTGTGAGATCAAAGAGAAAATAAACATTCGTTTCTCAGGAGCTTTTAGAATAAAGGACCATCTTGTGTTGCTCAACTATGCACAAAATGCGAGGCAAAGGCCCGGTGTCGACACAGGCTCTTTCATTTTAGCGAAGATTCAGTGAAATGTATCTCAAAACGTGCTGAACGCTGTTGTTGAACTTTTATTTTTAAGGATTTTTCTCTTCGAACTGTGCAAAATCTGCTATTCCACCTTTTATCACACGAAAGGAGAGCAATTCTGACAAAGCAGATCAGAGAAAAGGAGCTAAAACACACATGAACTTCTTCAGTCCTACTTTCACAAGTTACCGATATTAAAATGATGTCATGTATGATCTGGAAACGTGGAGTGTGTTACAATATAAATATCAATTTAAAAGTTTGGGCGTGGCTGGTCAAAGGAAATGTATTTATCGATTTTCTGAGTGTGAATAAGGCTATGTTTACACAGCAGGTAAAAGTGGCCCAAATCCGATCTGAACAGCAAAAAACACATTGAATCAGACATTTTCAACTCTGATTTGAGACGCTTTCATATGTGGTACTGAAATCCGATCTGTATCCGATCTGCAGCAATGTGACTCAGTCTGAACAGCCAGATCGGAATTCATGCAACTTTTACGTCAATCCAACTCGACATTCGTCATAATTTTGTGCTGCTGAGACTCAAAAACATTTAGTGTGATGTTTAGAAGAGACTCATCAGACCGCTCCGTGTTCAAAGAGGTTTCGAACGAAATGGCCGAACGTGGCCGGAGGAGACCGAGGCTGCAGCGTCAGGGAACAGTTTAAATAATACAAAGACACGAACCAAAGAAGAGGCCGAGGCCGAATTACAAGCCCTTTTTACGGCGAACTCGAACACACTGTGGGTGATGAGTCCAGCTGTCAGTCATTGGAACTTAATACTCGCTCCTGTGATGCTGGCGAAGCACAACTGAAAGCTGCGGCTCATCCAAGGGTAAACAATCACTGGCCGTCATGATTGTTTACCCTTGGATGAGCCACGTGAAGCACTGTTCTTTTGCGCATGCGGGTCGGTTTAGGAGCTGATCTGTTCAGACTGATGCCACATACAGGTCACATTTAAAAGATAATGCGAACAGCCGAACAAAAAAAAAAATCGGATTTGGCGAGAAAATCAGATTCGGGCCACTTTTACCTGCTGTGTAAACGCAGCCTAAGTTACACATCCTCTACAGAGACAAACCACTGCACATTTTTATACACAATTACTTTAGATTTGCTAAAATTATCATATTGGGGCAAAAATAAAACATTAATTATGGCCTGTTGACATATATTTTATGTACTTAGTTTTATTTTTTCCCCCATATGTTAAACTCAGTAAACAGAATTAAATAAAATGAAATATTGATCGTTAATATTTACAATGATTATGTTCTGATCTATTAAAACCCAAGACATTAATAGAGACAGTAATTAGCTAAATATATACACAATCATCATTTTAAGGGTACTTTCTATATACTGTTCTCAATATGTTCTTGTAAAAAATCTTTTTCATTTCCTTTAAAGTGACTTTGACTGATTTTGAAACATTATGAGTTTAATTTTTAATTAAAAATGCTGTCCCACATTTTCATTTCACTACCGAGTTTAAGTCAGTAGGCGGAGACTTATTTTAGCCACGGCCCTGTAGTGCAGGAAGTGAGGCTGCATCCCTGTCCCTCATGTCCACATGGTGAGCAGTTAGATCCCATTGTTCTGAAGTAAATGTGTCCCAAAGTCTGAAAATCAGTGTGGAACATTAAGAATCATCATATGTTCTGCAGATCAGCACCTTTTAGTGTTTTAATGTAAAATATGATGATTTTCTGTGTGAACAGCTGTTTAAAGCTGTGTTTGCTGGTCTGTACTGGCTGAGTTTCTGAGCTCAAAATGAGCTGAAACTGTCACTGAAACAGGGTCGAGCTATGATTGTTTTGGAATGTTCAATCATTAGTTTTAATAAAACAATCATAATTAAAGTTTAGAGTCACTCAGAGCAAAAGGATTTTAGTCTTAGGTCCAAAATCAGTTAAAAGTCCCACTTTGAGCCACTCAGGCAGATTGAATATAAGAGAACAGCACGTCCAGCGGTGCAGCTCTCACTCTGTCACGATGCGACTCTATAAAAAAGTACCTGTTTTGGGCTCCACAGAGAAGTACGGCTGCCCGTGGATGATGCTGTACACGACTCTTGCGCTGTGGCCATATGTGGGGTCATCTGCGTCCGTCGCCGCCACCTGGACCACCGTGGTGCCTTGGAGAAGGGAGAGAGGAAAAGAAACAACACTTGAGGGTTACCATGGCGATGCAGCACACTCTCTCAGCGCTGGGCGAAGTGATGTTGAGCAGACTGTGCCATTTGCGCGGGTGCAGAAGCAGCATCTACGCCCTGGCGCTGCCATTTCAGGGCGAAGAATGGGTCCAGCCCGGCCAACTCCGCGGGGGTTTTATGTTTGCTGATGCGAGGTTATTTGTGTTCGGCTGATCGTGCAGACATTGCATCACAAACCTTATTTTAAGCTGACGCCTGGTTTCTGCCTTTTTGACAGAGGTGCAATTAGCGACGCTCCCCAACATAAACGTAACCTTGGAGTAATAACCCAACAGTTTCTTCCACCAGCGAGCGCTGCTTTCACTGCTTGATGAAAAGCCCCTTTATGTTTACATATTTCAAGTTGATAGCTACGCTGCGCTGCCTTCTCTTCAGCCACGGCCTCAGATTGGGGGACATAAATGAGACGGTTGCTTTAAAAGTGGCTGATATTTTATTTTATGGCAAATCCCCCCATCACCCCCCTCCCCCCACCCCACCCCATACAATAAAAAAGAGGTCTTCATGCTCGAGCTGTATTTTACAGGCTTTCACCAAATGAATTGACCATGAAAAAGAAAAAGCAAATCCTCAGCTTCTTTTATAAAGCACCATCATTGGGCTGGGCCACCTGCAGATTTGTGGACCTGAAGATACAGTCAGCTGTAAAAAGCCTATTATGAGCTCGGTGTTATCAATTTTCATAAACAAACAGGCGCAAAGTGAAACAAAGTCTGCCAAACTTTTACACAGCCGATTAAAGTGAGCTCATGGAGTGAGTCTGGCTGTAATAGTCTGGCTGTTAAACACGACAAGGAACAAGATTAAAGTACTGTTTAGTTTGCGTTTTACAAAGTTTGTCCTCCTGAAAATGGTTTACAGTAAATCTCTGAATGAGTCAAACTCAACAGACAAAAGGAGCTGGGCGACTGGAATAATATATAAAAAATGTTTTATTCGTTCAGTTTCCAGTTGAAACCACCATTACGCACAAGTTCTTCATTTTTCAGATTCAGGAAAAAGTGGAAAACATACATTTAATGGAAAATTACTCAGAACCCTCAGCAGCTAAATCTGCTATCAGCTGTGTGAGTCAGTGAGTCACTCTGTACCTTTATTCCAGCTTCCACTCTTTTCAGGAGACTCACTTTCAGCTCCTCAAAGAATCTGCAGACACACCTCCAAAGTTCAGTCTTAGAAGCTGGTTGATCATTTTCTGAAGTAATCAAACACATTCAGTGGTGTTGAGGTCTGGACTCTGGGGTGGTCAGTCCATTGTCCAGCTTCTTTGTTTGATGTGTCCGTCTCCTTTTCTCAGTGAGGTTCTTCTTGATCAGCTACACATCCTTTCAGACCCACAGCGCTGAGTCGTCTTCTCACAGTGGAAGGATGGACAGAAACACCTGTGGATGTTTTCAGATCTGAAGCAGCTTGATTTTCTCCTCTCTCTCAGAGATGAAAGCTTTAAGTGCTGTTTATCATTATGCAGATAAAATATCTTATATCTATACTCCTAAAAACGATGGTTCTTCTAGGGTCCTTTAGTGAAGACAATGGTTCTATAGAGAATCATGAAGAGTCATGGTTTGCATGATGAGATGGTTCTTTAGATGGTGATGTATTTGGTTCTGTATAGCACCACAAAGGGTTCTTCTACCATTACAAGCTTGACATCATAATAATAATTACACCAGCCCTCTCACCAAACACACTAGCTGCATTTCAGCTGCAGTTCAACCAATATAAACACTATAAACACTGCAAACACTATCAACACTATAAACATTATAAACACTAGCGACACTATTAACACTATCAAAAATATAACTACTACAGACACTATAAACTCTACAAACACTACGAACACTATCAACACTATGAACACAATCAGCACTATAGACACTATAAACACTATCAACACTATGAACACAATCAGCACTATAGACACTATAAACACTATCAACACTATGAACACAATCAGCACTATAGACACTATAAACACTGTCGACACTACAAACACAATCAGCACTATAGACACTGTAAACACTATCAACACTACAAACACAATCAGCACTATAGACACTATAAACACTATCAACACTACAAACACAATCAGCACTATAGACACTATAAACATTATCAACACTACAAACACAATCAGCACTATAAACACTATAAACACTATCAACACTACAAACACAATCAGCACTATAGACACCAGAAACAGTATCAACACTACGAACACAATCAGCACTATAGACACTATGAACACTATCAACACTACAAACACAATCAGCACTATAGACAGTATAAACACTGTCAACACTACAAACACAATCAGCACTATAGACAGTATAAACACTATCAACACTACAAACACAATCAGCACTATAGACACTATAAACACTATCAACACTACAAACACAATCAGCACTATAGACAATATAAACACTATCAATACTACAAACACAATCAGCACTATAGACACCATAAACACTATCAACACTACAAACACAATCAGCACTATAGACACCATAAACACTATCAACACTACAAACACAATCAGCACTATAGACACCATAAACACTGTCAACACTACAAACACAATCAGCACTATAGACACTACAAACACTATCAACACTACAAACACAATCAGCACTATAGACACTACAAACACTGTCAACACTACAAACACAATCAGCACTATAGACACTATCAACACTACAAACACAATCAGCACTATAGACACTATAAACACTGTCAACACTACAAACACAATCAGCACTATAGACACTATAAACACTATCAACACTACAAACACAATCAGCACTATAGATACTATAAACACTATCAACACTATAGAAACTATAAATGCTATCAACACTATAAACACTATCAACACTATCGTCATTATAGACAATATGAACACTAGACACTACAAACACAATAAACCGTATAGACACTATAAACAGTATCAACACTATAGACAATATGAACACTATAGACAATACAAACACAATAAACCGTATAGACACTATAAACAGTATCAACACTGCAAACACTATCAACACTATAGACAATATGAACACTATAAACACTATTGACACTATAGACCCTATAAACACTATCAACACTGCGAACACTATCAACACTATAGACACTACAAATTCTATAAACACCATCAACACTAGAAACACTAAACACAATAGACACTATAAACAATAAACACTACAAATACTTTAGACACTATAAACACTATAGACACTATAGACAATAAACACTACAAAGACTTTAGACACTATAAACACTATAGACACTATAAACAAACACTATAAACACCATCGACACTACAAACACAATCAACACTAAAACACCATAAACACTATTAAACACTATAAACACTACAAACACTATAAAGACTATCAACAGTACAAACACTATTACCACAATCAACACTAAAACACTATAAACACTCAGCAGCTCAGAAACCGATCCAAAGAAAGATGAACTTGCAGCAAAGAAAAGATGCCAGGTGTCTTTATCAAACACATAGACAGGTTTAAAAGACCAGCCTCCTCTGGACATTTAAATATATTCAGATATTCAAATAATATTTCAAAGTCTCTATTTTTTGCTGTTGAAGTTTCGGTATATTTTAAATGAAACAATATCCAGCTCTGTTTATAGCAAAATGTTGTTTTAATATAAATAAAAACAGGCAGATTTTGGGGATTTTTTAATATGTCCGTTTTAGTGGTTGAGTTTGACACCCCTCATATAAGCCAGTAGGAAGCTGATCAGCGCCTGTTGACTGAATTGTTGTCTGTGCTAACTGACCGAACACTACAGACGCAGCAGATACAGATCAGGTGGAAACAATGCTGGCGTATCTCTTTAAGACCCCCTCAGAGTGAAGACCACTGAGATGCATATGCTTCGTCCATCAAACAAAGTCTAATGATTTAATAAACAGGCAAACTTGTTTTGTGCACCTGTCAACACTGCAAAGTGACGTTAAGGTCACGCGTTTAGTTCAGTCACAACAAATCAGACAGTCTCTGAGCTTTATGAACAGACTGACTGGAGTCATACATTTTAGTTGATGATATAGCGTGAAAAAAAACAAACAGCTCTCTGTTACAATGACTGAATATCTGTATGTGGCAGTATCAGCAGGTGCAGCTGTCGCCCTAATCACTGTTTTCCTCTCTCTCTGTCACTTCTCATTTGTCCATCTTCATTGCCGTGATTGATCAAATCCCCCGTTTTCCTTCGTTTTTTGCACGCGTGCGGAAACAGGCTCCGAGATCCGGCCATCAATCCTGCGTTCTGGGCGGCCGATTGTCATCTGACAGTAATGAAAATAAATATACCCCGACTAATTCTAGGATATGACATGTTTTCATAAACCACTCCTCCAAACAGGAGCTGGAATCTGACCGTTATGGTCAAGGAATCTCGTTTCCGAGAGACCGTAGACGATCGTGAAGGACCAGAGATTTCAGATCAGTCTGTTTTTGGGTAAATATTTTCTGAGTCACGCTTGTGTTGAAGTGTTTGTTGTTGTTGTTTATATCTTAAGAAAACAACGCAGCAAAGTTGGGCTGTTTTGAAAGAAAGTGTTCGGAAGTTCTGCACGCGGCCTTCTTTCTGCAGGCTGACGCCAAACTCAGTGTCCCGATGAGCTACGTTTACCACATTCAGCACAACTTCCTACAGTTTTATAAGCTTTTTAAACAAAATACTGTGGTGGAATGGATATTGAAATTGGGGAGGGTTGACATGTGAGGATGGATGATATGGCAAAATACAGTCTAACATCACAGTAATTATAGAAGTTGCCAGGATACACAATGTGTATTATGATACTTCATTTATTTATTTTCTCAAGTTTCTGAACATGTTGGACTGAATGAAACACACCAGCAGTGCAGTGGTCTGAT